GTCCAGGCCTACACGAGATGAGGCAGGATAAAGAGGGATAATCCCCCTCGATCCCAAATCATTGAGGCCAATTTCTAGCCATGGAATAATGGCGCGGTGCTGTATTTCTATGATCTCTGCATTTTCCTAGTGATACGTATAAATTCCGTGCTTAGTTTAACGGTTCATTTTCATTGGCACTTGAATGCGCCCTTATAGCTTTATATTGCCTAACTTCACTGTTATTTACTTATTTAAATTTTGCTCTAATTATCATTTGATTTTAATTTTTAGGTTACTAAAATATGGACTGTGAAATTATAGACAAAAAAGATTGTTCATACGCCATATCAAATAGTTTAATTGGTTTAACATGTGCGAATCAAGAAATAACTTTATTTGATTTTGGAAATGTACTAGTTCAAAAAGATTATTTAAAAAATGACTTTGTCAAAATTATATCAGGTGGCTCTAACTTTTTCGGAGAATATGTTGGAAAAGCTATGTTAACAGCTACTATACAGGGTAATAAATTGAAAAAATATGTATTTAAAATCTGCTTTTTTAATATTATTATCTGTAAATGACATCATGTTTTTGTTACTTTTTAAGGGAACATCTGTAACATAATTAAACACGATATTTTATTTAGGTGAAGGATTTATGGCACCTCCTTCTAAAGTGATTTTACGTACAATTAGAGAGTTAAGTTTGAACAATGCAAATGGTGTATTAATAATAGTCCCAGCAAATACTGGTGACTTATTAAATTTTGGCTTAGCTGCGGAGAGAGCGTTAAATGACAATATATCTGTAAAATTATTAGCAGTCAGTGACAATTTTGATAAAAGATTACCAAAAGTATGCAGAAGTGGATTGAGTGGTGTTATCTTAGTATATAAAATAGCGGGAAGCCTTTCTGTAAAGGAAAAATCTTTAAATGACATATTTTATTTTTGTGAACAAGTTGTTAAAAATATCATAAGCTTTGAGATTATTTCATTGGATTTTGAGAAAAGTAAATCGAGTACAAATATTTGGATTACAGAACAAAATACGAAAAAAGTAACTGATATACGTAGAGATATTTGCCAAAAGATTGTAGATGACATATATTCTGAAAATATTGAATCTGAGCAAGACGAAGAAAAATTTTGCATAAAACCTCAAGAAAAAATTATTGTTTTATTGAATAACTGTGGGGGTTTTGGTAAAACAGAGGAATATATTTTTTTGAAAGAGTTGCTTAATATTCTTCAGCCTTTAGAAATTACTGTAGTACGATTTTACTGTGGGAATTTTATGAAATGCACTCAAAAAATGAAATTGTCAGTGACGATATTAAAAGTTTTCAATCAGGACGTTTTAACTTCTCTTGATGAGCCATGCTCTGTTGCAGGTAATTTCTTTCTTTGAAGATCAGTGCATAAAGTATTTAATTACTATATTGTGTTATTCTACATTGCAGGATGGAAAAATGTATACCAATATTCTTTTTTAACTTTGGAATCCCCGTTTAGTGGAAATTTAAAAAGAAAAGATAGATTAACCCCTCCTGTCCGAGGACCCAAATTACCTGATCGAGTTGCAAATGTACTGCTATTAAGTACCCAGTTTGCCTGTGATGCTTTAATATCTTGTGAGCGACAATTGAATATTGTCGACTCCGAAATATGTGAGTAAAATTTTATTACAAATAGTAATAATAATAATAATAATAATAATAATAACAGTTTCTTAACTGCTTTCTTGTAGTAAATTATTCATTTACAACATCGATTTAAAGTACTGCCAATTAAGAACATCAGGGTGTCGCGCTTAAATATGATACAAGCCTGTAACTTCTTTATTTTTTGGACGATTTCAAAAATTTTTATTACTTACCTTAGACGGCTCGCAAGGAATTGGCGCTCCGGCTACTTGTTTATACTGTCAATGAGAATGACTGGGCCAAGTTTCATTCTTTAACTCTTTGTGACATAGTGAAAAAAATAAATTTAAGAATTACATATTGGGGTAGGTTGCTACCCCTTAGACGACTCGCAAGGAATTGGCGCTCCGGCTACTTGTTTATACTGTCAATGAGAATAATTGGGCCAAATCTCATTCTTTAACTCTTTTTGTAACATGGTGAAAAAAATTAATTTATGAGTTACTTATTGGGGTAGGTTGCTACCCCTTAGACTGTCAATGAGAATGACTGGGCCAAGTTTCATTCTTTAACTCTTTTTGTGACATAGTGAAATAAATAAATTTAAGAATTACATATTGGGGTAGGTTGCTACCCCTTAGACGACTCGCAAGGAATTGGCGCTCTGGCTACTTGTTTATACTGTCAATGAGAATAACTATGCCAAGTCTCATTCTTTAACTTTTTTTGTAACATGGTGAAAAAAATGAATTTATGATTTACTTATTGGGGTATGTTGCTACTCTTTAGACCGCTGGCAAGCAATTGGCTACTTGTTTATACTATCAAATAGAACGACTGAGCTAAGTTTCATTCTTTAACTCTCATTGTGACATAGTGAAAAAAATAAATTTAAGAATTACATATTGGGGTAGGTTGCTACTCCTTAGACGACTCGCAAGGAATTGGCACTCCGGCTACTTGTTTATACTGTCAATGAGAATAATTGGGCCAAATCTCATTCTTTAACTCTTTTTGTAACATGGTGAAAAAAATTAATTTATGATTTACTTATTGGGGTATGTTGCTACTCTTTAGACCGCTGGCAAGCAATTGGCTACTTGTTTATACTATCAAATAGAACGACTGAGCTAAGTTTCATTCTTTAACTCTCATTGTGACATAGTGAAAAAAATAAATTTAAGAATTACATATTGGGGTAGGTTGCTACTCCTTAGACGACTCGCAAGGAATTGGCACTCCGGCTACTTGTTTATACTGTCAATGAGAATAATTGGGCCAAATCTCATTCTTTAACTCTTTTTGTAACATGGTGAAAAAAATTAATTTATGAGTTACTTATTGGGGTAGGTTGCTACCCCTTAGATGGCTCGCAAGGAATTGGCACTCCGGCTACTTGTTTATACTGTCAATGAGAATGACTGGGCCAAGTTTCATTGTTTAACTCTTTTTGTGACATAGTGAAAAAAATAAATTTATGATTTACTTATTATACAAAAGAAATGTAATAACTCGTATTTGAGTTCCATATCTTTCCAAGTTGTTTTAGGGAATTTTGTCACGAGTAGAATTGTGTGCCGAATGATAATATTTTAATTATAAAAGTAAATATTGTGTGTAAACTCTTTTAAATAGTGGCTGCCAAAAATTGGCTGCCAACTTCTCATGAAAATTAATTGGCTGCTGGAATTTGTTAGCTGCTAAGTTCACACCGGTTGGTGATAAGACATTTTAAGGAATGCTGAATGAGAATACGTAATCTGTTTTTTGGAAAAAAAATTGCTAATACCAATTAGCTGTTTTGATGTCAAAAAAAAACACGTCCTAGTTGGCCGTGAATTGCATTAATAAAAACAGCAGCATTACAGTTAGATAGTTTTTTTATCCTACATTCTAAAAAAAAAAATTTGAAATCGCTCAAAAAACAAAGAAGGTACAGGCTTGTATCACATTTAAGCGCGACACCGTGTATATTTACTTATCATTATTATACAAGGTGTAACAGATTTTATCTTGCTAACTATAGTTCAAATAAAATATTGATTTTTATACAGGGTTCTCGTTAATACTTTCTAGTAATGAAGGGGTTGATTCTTTAGATTATTGTAAGGAAAAAGTTACTATGAAATGTATATATTAAATGGTCTAGTTTTTGAAATTCAGTTGAAAATTTTGAAAATATTCTAAACAAATATTTCTAAAAACATTTGACCTACATATACAGGCTGTTACAAATTCACTTCTCACTATACAGGGATCTCGAAAACGGTAAGAGATACAAACTAGCTTAAATGGGGGCAAAGTTGCGTTATCAGGGGATCAAGATTATACGTAACCGCAACTGTGAAAGAGCATGTCAGATGAATGTCCTGAAAAAATATAGATCAGAATTTGTTTGAATTTTGACCACTCGAGAAGCCTAGAAATAACTATCGACGCAGGAATAAAACTGTAACAATTTTTTATTTTAATGTGGGGTGGTAATAGTTTAAATAACTAGATGGATTTCACAGGGTCTAACAACACTTACAGTGTACGAAAATTCAATAAACAAGGAAATCTGAAAAAAAATTTAGATAAATTTGCAACGAATACATTGAAGATGAATTTTTCGAGACAAAACGTCTGAATCTGGTTCGTGCTGAAGCAGTACTGTAACAGTATTGGGGATCATGAAGGCTTGCAAAAAATGTAATAAAATTTCTAGGGTCATATTTAAAAAAATGAAGTTGATGATGCTGCTGATGACGAAACATATAAAAATTGATTATACCATTCGATAGAGGGCAAAAAGTGGCCATGAGAAAGTGTTCTTCCTTTTTCAATATCACGTCAAACAAAGCTGAATTGAAACAAAAACGGATTTCCAAAATTTCGTTTTTTTCAAATATTTTGAAAACTAATCATGTTAGCCTTAATTTTTTAGAGGCATAATGTTGGTCCTCTGATTACGCAACTTTGCCCCCATTTAAGCTACTTCTTACCTCTTACCGTTTCCGAGATCCCTGTAGTGAGAAGCGAATTTGTAACAGCCTGTATAGATTAACGAAAATTAGCCTGATGATTTAATTAAATTGAAGTAAAAGGAATTGTATACAATTATATTAACCAGGGGAGGAGGTATTGAGACTTTCGGTCAGTGCATTTGATTGAACTGTATTTTAAACAAGAAAAAAGGTTTCTTTCAATTTATTATGTTTTTGTAAATACAGTACAATCTCACTAATCCGGCACCATTAAAAACCTAGGAGTGCCGGAGTACTGGAAAGTTCGGATTAATGGAAAATGTATATGTATATGTAAACAGTATTAAATTAATAATTAAGTATATTAATATTAATATTAATAATAATATTAATAATAATAATAATNTGTCAAAAATATCAGACATTAATATTAATAATATTAATTATTAATAATAATAATAATAATAATAATAATAAATTGAAAATGATTTAGTTTTAAAATAAAATGGAAGAAATATTTTTCTTTGGAGTACAGGACAATGTTACAATTAGTACACCAAGTTAAAGAAGAGAAAATGTCGATATGAGACTATTAAAACTAATATTATGCAATATGTCTAACAAGTAACACTGCCCAACCGTCCCTCACTGATCGGAATAAAACTTGGAACATCGTGCATTCTAAAAAATATTGAACCAGTATTTTTTATTTTCTCGTAATTCGCTTTCAAGGGGTAGAAACCATCCCTAGAAGACGGTAAGAGCGAAAATTTCCATAAATCTCCATAAATAAAATAAAAAAAATACATAATTATCAATCAAACTCACTCTATCCACCCAAATCAACTAACCCTCCTACTCCAAGCCTCGCTCCAAGCATACCCCTCTCCTAAACTAATCCATTCCTTTACCCCAACATCAAACACCCCACCCTAGATTAGAGAGTCACCCAACTAAACAAAATAAACCTTTCCATCTTAACTCCACCCCACCCATCTAAACCAACAGGACTTTCTTGCCTTCACCAACCCTCCACCTAACCCAACCCCCCACCCTCATGTACGGTGTGCTTGATTATCGTGGGTCCCCTTGCCTCTCCTATTCGGGTGCTTGATTAACTCTCGCTTCTCACACTCAGGGTGCTTGATTAGCGTGAGTCCCCTTGCCTCTCACTGATCGGGAAAAAAAACACGATATCATTAGACCAACTGATATCCACTATTTTACATATTCATTATAATATTTATTTCATTTATGGAGATTTTCGCTCTTACCGTCTTCTAGGGGTGGTTTCTACCCCCTTGAAAGCGAATTCCGAGAAAATAAAAAAAAATGCAGGTTCAATATTTTTTAGAATTCTATCGATGTGCCAAGTTTCATTCCGATGGATGAGTGACAGTTACATTTAAGTTAAAAAATGTACATTTCTTCAATATCCCCATATACTTTACTAAAAAAGCTTATTTTTCCTAAAGTTTGCAGTTTTTGTCTAAAATAATAATTATTTATCATTCAGGTTGGACTTTATTTTAAATATGTGTTTTAAACAATTATTATTAATTATTTTATTGAGCATTACGTTTTATATGGAATTTTGTAACAATTTTACTACCTTTAATTTTATATGCTTTTAATAAAAGTAGGTAGTTTATTGTTTTAAAGAATAAGTAAATAAATACAGACATCATTTTAATAATTTAAAAAAATATACTAAAATAAAATATGTAGTTGTATTTTAGATATTTTATCATTTCAAATTAATTACATATTTTTTTATAAAGTTTTATTGAGCTTTCAAATATTCTAATGTCATAGTAAATGTTTGAGATGAAATTGAAAAATCTATACTATTTTTACATTTTTATAGATTCGGAATTCAGTAAGTTAAATACTTAAAAAAAGATAAAAATTAAAAATTGTATAATAAAAATTGAGTAATTTTGCCACTTAAACAAAGATTAATTAATGCGTTTTTAATGAAAAAATACAGTATGTGAATGTATCAAAAATTTACGGACTTTAAAAAAAATTAACAGATCCTTTCTCTTACATTTAGTAAAATATCTGGGGATATTGGAAAAATGTTTTTTTTATTTTAGACAATGTTTCAAAGAAATACTTAAGTTATTGACATCTATATTTATTTTCACTTAATCTACCCTCTATAAAATATTTTTTTGCAGGTGACGGTGATGCTGGAACAAGATTGAAAAATACCGCTAAAGTTTTATTGAAGCGGATAAGAGACGATAAACTTATCACAAATTATCCTTTCACTTTTTTTGAATCCCTGAGTAAAATACTGGAAGCTACCGTTGGAGGCACTGCTGGTTGTATTTATAGTATATTATTCGAAGCAGCTGGTAATTGTTTTGGAGGTTTTTGTGAAAATGATGAAGTTACTCCCTTCATGTGGCTGAAGGCACTAGAAGTAGCAACTAGGGCTCTAAAAAGGTATTATAGATAATTTATACAATTTTATCTTTTATACTGCTTGTCTTTCTATATCAAGATCTGCCCTGCTTTTTTTTTGTAGTTCAATTTTTTAAAATAGTGCATTTATATCAATTTAAAAATTGTTTGTTTTTTTTTCTGGGAAATTTTTTTTGTACGTTTAGTTCATTATTATTCCATTAGTCCATTTAGTCCATTTATTGAAAATTGTTTCCTTGAAAAAAACTTATTTCAGGAAATACTCAGTACAGATAGTAGACAATCACAGTGGCAGCTGGTGAAAATTAAAATGGTCATTTTTGATAATAAAAATGAAGTATCCCATACCATTTATTAAGGGGCAGTTTCTATGCTCATACACAGAACTTTCATGATTAAAACATTTCCAAAGAAAACAACAATAAAAACAAAAATGACTTGATTCTGGGTTCTTAGTAAGGGTTATACATATGAGCAAAAATTTTATTTCATAGTTGAGTGATGGATACAAATAGGCATTTGCGAAATTAAATTTTCTCTGTAGTTATATACATATTTTATAAAGAACATTGTTAAAAAATGGGCATTTTCTGCCCATCCGGGGCAAAGTGTGCAATGCTTTTTTTTTACTAATTTTGGGGTGCTGAATATGAATCCGTCATTCTTATCGGCCACAAATGGCGGGAACACAGGAAAACTCCCTTTTTTTGGGGGTGTATTGGGGTTGACATTCCTAAGGGATATATTTACATAACCTCTAAGAGGGGATTATTTCTTAATGCATTTATTTTTTTGGGTTCTCCGGGGAAAGTGTGCAATACGATTTTATTGATTAGTTTTTGTGTGCTGAGTACGAATCCGTTGTCCTTATTGCGTAAAACTGCCGGGGACACATAAGATAATGGAATGAAAATTGTAGGTAATAATCATACCATAAGGGCCTTTGACTGTCATAAGTTTCATCAAAATCGGTTATAAATAAGCATAGTTTTCTAACTTCCCTTAACAGAAATTTTTCGAATTTTTTTTGTTTCTTTGAATTATCAAGCAAATAATATTTTTTAATGAATTTGACTTTTTTGAAGAAAAAATGTCTACTTTTTTTTTCGAATTCTGTGTAGTTTAGTCAGAAATAATTATTTTTTAAATAATGTATGACAGAACAGTAACTTTTTTTAACATTTTCACACAGTAGGCATCTTTCATGGTGACAGTTTAATTGTAATGATACTAATGATTAATATAATGTAATGATTTATCTTCTTAGTTGTGATCTTTGTTCTTGACTTTGCATTTCACTCAATTTTTTTACTTTGTCTAAATCATGCTTACACCTCCTTGGACGGCCAAATTCACGATATCTTGGAATTAGGCCTCCTGATTCCATCGTGCTTGCATGAATTTTTCCAAACAATTTTGCAGAAGGTTGCCTTCTATCAGGGAATCGTTGCTGATACTCCTTTTGAGCCTTCAGACTATTTCCATTACAGAAACCTTAAATAGAATGCATATCAGCATATTCACGGTTAGTAAAAGCATGATGGTTCACGGTTGTGGAAAAATCGAATGAAGGTCAAAGTCAAGCACAAAGATCACAACTAAGAAACGTAAGAATTTAAATGATAGCACGCGAAAGTGACAATCATTAGTATCATTACAATGAAGCTGTCACCGTGAAAATGTTAAAAAAGTTGCTGTTCTGAGCCATACATTATTTAAAAAATAATTATTTCTGACTAATCTACGCAGAATTCGAAAATAAAAATAGGAACATAAAAGTCTAATTCATTAAAAAATAATATTATTTGCTTCATAATTCAAAGGAATAAAAAAATTCGAAAAATTTTTGTTAAGGGTAGTTAGAAAACTATCCTTATTTATAACCGATTTTGATGAAACTTATGATAGTTAAAGACCCTTGTGGTATGATTATTACCTACAATTTTCATTCCATTATTTTAATCAGAAAGAATGTTATTTTAAAAATATCCAAATGATAAGACTCCTTTGGAGGGCCATATCTCACTAACGGTGCTCCGGAGGACCAATGTTTAAAGCAACTTTTTTTTACTATTTTTGGCTCTACTTTCACCTCCTTAAATTTTGTACCAACTTTTCCAAACACCCTGTATACAGGGTGTTCCTAAATATGTGTCGCAACGGAACACTGTCTTGAAAAAAGAAACATTCTTTTCCTCTTCCATTTTTCTCTCTGGGGTTTCGTTTTCGAGATACACGGTGTCAAAACTTTCATTTATTTTAAATTTTTTGCCAATATCTTAGGAACCGTTTGAACTACAGGACTGAGTTTTTGTACACGCATTACCACTATTAATAACTACTTTTTCGCATCCTTCTCGAATTCATTGAACATGCTAGTGGTGGAGATTTTAAGGTATCGTAAGGGTTTTCCCCCCTAACTTTTACGCCACTGGAAAAATTGACATTTGACAGCAAATTCTGAAGCGCCAATGAATTTTACACAAAAAGAGTTCTCTTGGTTCATTGCTCTAAAATCAACCGGTTTCAAGAAAAATGACTTTTTATGAACAAAAACAAACATTTTGCTAACGTTTCGAAAATCTTTTGTAATTCAAAAGATAGATAGTATCTAATAATTAACAATTTTAACTAAATTTAACAACATTTGCAACAAGTAGCTATTAATAGTGGTAATGTGTGTACAAAAGCTCAGTCCTGTAGTTCAAACTATTCCTAAGATATCGGCAAAAATCTGAAAAAAAGTTTTGACACCGTGTAGAGGAAGTTAACAGTTTTCCGTTGCGACACTTATTTAGGAACACCCTGTATATTTTTGTAAATATGACGTTCCTTTAAGTTATTCACAATTGTTAAATATTGTAAAGATAGGTAAAATTTTTTAATACCTATTTTTTTTTCCTTTCAGATATGGTAACATAGAATTTGGTGACGGAACAATGTATGATCCGATTTTTATTTGTGCTGCAACAGTTCGAGAAGAATTAGAAGCTGGTCAAAATTACATTGATGCTTTTGGTAAGGGTGTGATAGCAGCTGAAGAAATTGCACAGAAGACAAAAAAATTTAAACAGAAATATCCCGATTCTGGTGCTCACGCAGTAGGAATCTGGATGAGAGCCGCATATGAAGGCGTGAAATTAAGATGTCCTATAGAATAACACTCTGTAAAAAAATGAAATCTTCTTGTACATATGTAAATAATAAAAAATAGTTATCAACAAATGACAAGTGTTTATTGATTTTACACCCTACACCTATATATTTTTTATGTCGGTACCTAATAAAATTATTGTATTTTACCATGTGTTACCATGTATGTCTAAAGGCAAGACCTGCAAATAATGGAGAGTTTCTCAAATTTTCATAGAATTTTTTAAAATTCCAATTGTAATCGGTCTTTATTTACAAGGTGCTGCTATTGGATGTCATTTCATTAAAGTGAATATGATACCGTCTATCTGTGTATAGTCTTTTCGAAGTCAGTTGAACATGTAAAAAAACGAGTGGCACTAAAATTTTATGACTCATAGGTGTCCCTAAAAAAGTTTTCTGCTAAAGGTAAAAAATTATAATTGTATATAATATGTAGAAAATAATTTCTATATGTTCATTTGGCCGACAACATATTTTAATTATTTATGTCCTCAACCAATTTTATTATATTGATGGTAAATTTCGTTTTGTTCCGTTTCAAAATGCCATGTTGTAATAATATTAGTAAACAAAATATCCCTCTTATTTATCCCTTTCGCAATTGTAATATGAATGATTAATAGAAGGTGCCTATAATAAATTAAAATTAAAAGATGATGAGATATTAAAAGATGTCCTGAAATTAATGGGACACACACAGCATGGGCAGATTCCTTATATCAAAATAGTGCGATATAGCTAAACTTATATTAGTCCGTTTGTGGTTGTGGATAATAATAATGTACATTTTAATTCACGTTTTTGTTTTCTTTTTTTGTTCTCTTTTTACATTGTATTTTGCATGTGTCTGGCTGTTTATACATTATTTTTAAGTGGTTTTTATAATAGTTAACATTTTTCAACTGTATACATGTAATTGGACTGTCCCTTTGTCTGTATGTATGCAGTATAAATAAATAAATAAAAAAGTTACAGGGTGTTAAAATTTTGAATTAAAAATTCTTAAAATTTTTAGAAAGTTTTCAAAGAATTACTTTGAAAATTTGAATTCGGGGGTTTCTGGGTCCAGGAAAACGAATCTGGACTTAACTGTGCTTTAGACGCTAGAGGTCGCTACAAAATGCATGTAGTCTTGGTTGATAAAAATTGGTCATAACTTTTTTCTCAGTGTGTGTACGAAAGTTTTAATGGAAAAATATTATTCTCTTGTCTATTTTACACAAATAAGATATACTTGTTTTATGTCGATAAATTTAACCGCATTTGATTTATTTACTGTTTTTCCATTGGATGCAATTTATTTTTCAAGATAAAAGTTTTTATAGTTAGGTACTTAAAAACTACCATAGTAAGATTTGGTTATTTGGAAACAAATCATAGTAAAATCACAACTTTTTAAGGGAAAATAAAACTCGCCTACATTAAGAAAACGTCCTTTTCAACATGAATTTAAAATAGACATTTGGTGTGCTATTCTTGGAAATCATAGCTGTACTTGTTTTACACACTTGGTCACTTTGGTTAATCCATTTCCAGTACAGTTCTGACCAAGTTAGTTTTTTTTAAACAAGTGAACAAACCAAAATATGACCAAAATCAGTTCCCCCCTTTCCGATTTAACCCAGCCTAATATCGTGGTTAGTAAGTGAACAAGATAACTGAACAAAACATAACCTACAAATAATAATAATCATAAATCTAAATAACAAAAATAAGCCGTTGATTATGGATATGGATTCATCCGAAGAAGATATGTTGATTGTAAATATGTTGGGCACAGTATGACTGACAATTACAACCTAATTAAACTGAAATTGAACAAACGTCAAATGTCAAAATTTAAAATGGAGTAGATGTATGCTTTGTTTAACCTAGAGTTTGTTCAAATCACGGTCACTTCAAAGACCTAGACACCAACTTTTTGACCCTGGGTGACCACCCCAATGACCCCCCCCCCTGCCCGCTAACCTTTTCTGTTTCAGAGACAGCCAGGATCAAGAAACGAAGACAACGACACACACACACATACACACCCCCCATACCCTCCTTACCCCTCCCCTCCCGCGCTAGCCTAAGGGCCACCTTAGCAAAGCGCATCCCAGGCTGCATAGCCGCACTACCCTACCCAACCATACCACACATAAACATGACACTACCCCCGGGGTTTACACAGACGAGCCGGCGAAGCAAGAAGAGCGGCAGAAGAAAGGGCCCTAGCCGGCTGGGCCCAGCCAGGACAAAAGGAGGTCCCACAAAGCGCCTACACCGGCCGCATTTGCGGTCGGGGTAGACGACGGATGGGGCCCACCTACGAAGGCTGTCCAGGCCTACACGAGATGAGGCAGGATAAAGAGGGATAATCCCCCTCGATCCCAAATCATTGAGGCCAATTTCTAGCCATAGAATAATGGCGCGGTCACTTCTAATTTGGTCAACTTGACCAAACTGAACTAACCAAGTGGTAAAACAAATACAGCCCATATGTCCTGTTGAATAGCTACATAATCAATCTGAATGGCCGTTCGTACTTACATTTCTTACAACATGATTTTCTAGAACTTCTTGATGATTTACCATTAAATGTGAGACAGAATATGTTCTTTAGGTATACAAGACGATGATCACGCCTATTTTTCTGTACACGCGTGCGAAACTATTTTAATACGCAATTTGTCCAATGGTGGATAGGTCTTGCCAGCATGTTTCCATATGGCCCGCACAGAGTCCAGATTTAAATCCAATGGATTTCTGTATTTGGGGTATTTTAAAATCAAATGTATACAATTACCCTATAATCACATGGCATGAGCTGTGGTAAGAAATTTTAAATACTAGCAATTTAATAAGAAATGAAGAAATCGTTTATCAAACAAATAAGAATGTGTATTAATGTAAACAGGGGCCATGTTGAGAATTTAATGTAGCCAACTGAATACTGAATGTAATTAATTTATGTTATTAATAATAATATAATCATTAACTGTAGTTTACAATGTTTACATGACAATAACAATTATTTTATTTCTTAATAAATTAACTCTGTAGGTACTGTAAATTGTAAATTTGAACATATTTATAGAAATCGTGATAATTTTTTTTTAAATGTGTATTCTAATAAAACCAGCGTACATATTTAAACTTCTTGCAAGGTGTCGTAATCTATTATCGTTTTGATTGGTCTCATCGACATGGGTCCGCAGAGGAAACATCGGAAGTTCAAATCGAGCCCCACGTTGGGCGCCATGTCGTGAATTCTGACCGGAAGTGCCTAATAAATGTGAATTTTGGTGTGATTCGGTAACCTGAGCTCGCGGCGGAGATATCGAAACTGAGCTTCGAGCTCCACTTTGGACGCCAGGTCGTGCTAGATTCTCAAATGACTGTGGCATGTGGTGGATATGGCCTACAGACGTGGTGTCTAGGGCACGAGCTCGTGGGGGAGATCTCAACGACGATGTTCGAGCCCCACGTCGAGCGCCGTGTCGGGTTAGACTTTCTAAATAGGGACCACTTAGGCGGTAATCAAAAGTTCGGGGAAAATCATGAGAGCGGACGGGTGATGTACCAGAATTGCTTAGGTGAAAAGAGCGCGTCACGTCACCTACGACATAGTCGGCTAAGGGGTTTTCGTATGGGATGGCACCCGAACGAGATGCGTATTGCTCCCGCTGGGTACCATTTCGTAGAAATGCTGCTTGTACTGGATCGTCCCTGCCAACGGCTCCACGTTCCGAGAGACCCGAAATCGGAAGTAGGCCGAATTCGGGGCAGGACCGCGAACCGTGGTTGGGCTCATGGGATTCCCCGGACCCTACCAGTTGGTACGTAGGTATAACCTTGTCCCGAGTATTTGTGGTTGACCCACTTCGTGGCAACTCTTGTGGGCTACTCGCCTCCGTAAGTGCGTCATGCGGGGTGGTCTAGGCGGTATCGATAACTCGCGTAGCAGCGGACCTCCGCGCGTACGGTGCTGTGGCTGCGCCGTGCCGCGTACTTCCACGAGCTACCACGTTCGGTCTCTCAGACTGTTCACGGAGCATCGAGATAGCATTGGGGAATAAGGCCATTTCCTCTTTCACCCGGAGTGTCGGGAGATCTTTCGCCGGCAAACAGGTGTGAGGGCAGTCCGTGTGACCGCTGGTCTCTCCGGATGGGGACGAGGCCTCGTCCAGCTCAGTCTTGATCACAGAATCATGATCTGATTTGTTAGTTGTACCTCCGAGGGCACCAATCCTTGTAGCACTGGATATTGCGTCGCAGAGATACATCTTACCCCGTACGACAATGTCAGAGCAAGCTCTTTTGCTCTGAAATTCTGGTAGAAACACTGATTCTACTTAAATGTGGGTCTCTCGAGGGAGCCCTGAGAAGCAAGGACGACTTCTTTAAATTTCGAGTACGCCGCCATAATGACGTGCGTACTATAGCTTTGGACTCGTAGGTCGCAAAGATAATGTCTCGTAGGGGTTTGACGAGGAAGGTTGCCTCGACGAGTGACCCCCTAGAGATTTGACGAGGAAAGTTGCCTCGGATTTGCGGTACTCGTAGAAGTCTGTTTTGATAGGACTCGTTGGAGCCTATGTGTACCGCTGTTCCGAGGTGCGGGTCTCTCGATGGAGCCGGCACAGTCGGAGACAGGGTCTTCGTCGGAGGTGGTCAGCCTCGGACGGTATGACAGGTTTCAAAAGGAGCCTGGAGTTTACAGCTGTTTCGATGCAGGGGGCTATCGAACAGGGTCTTCGTCGGAGATGCTCAGTCTTGGACGGTACCGCAGGTCTCAAAAGGAGCCTGGAGTTTACCGCTGTTTCGATGCAGTGGGCTATTGGACAGGGTCATCACCTCAGGTTGGGCTACCTCGGGCGGTATGTCTCGTGAAGCGGGTAGTGGTTTCCAAGCACTATAACTTACCTCGTAAAGTACTTCGAAGGTAAGCAGACGGGATCTCGTGAAGCGAGCCTGTGAGCTCCAAAATGTCTCGAGTTTTTTGTCAGGATATTGTACAACAAACCGTGGAAGGTATGCTAAAAGATTTATTAAGCAGTAAACGGACAA